TACAAAATATATTACGGAATATTCTTATATAATTATTAGTTGATTTCCTAACAATAATAGAATGATTTATATTTTTCATATATAAATCTCTCTTCAATGTATATATACCCCTAAACCCATGGAATAAAATACAAGAAATATGTAGTATTTTTCTTTCCTAACTCTTTACATGGTATTAGAGTTAGGGTTAGAGTTAGAATTTTAGGGATCAAAATATATCAGACCAAAAAAGGGTTGAACAACCCATTTTCGGTGCCGGAGTAAGTCAACCACCAATCTCCGGCCAGTTAAGAGAGCGGCCAACATGGTAGCGTATGCAGAAGAAGAGAAGGAGGCCGTTTGTGTAGCTGTCTAGAGTTGCGAAGTCAGGTTTGCCAATTGTTTGCACGGTGATTTAAAAATACGGTGTCGTGTTTGTCCTGTGTGAAGACAAAAGGTGAAAGAAAGCTCAATCAGCCGGTTTTGAGCACAAAACCAGAAGGTTGGAGCGCAGGAAACCCGAGGCTGAGCAGATCACGCGACAGCAAGCCTTTTCCGGTTCTCCAGCGCAATTTGGGGCGATTTTGGGAGCTACATTCTGGATTCAGGTGTGTATTTTAGTTCTATGGTGATTTCCGACCGAAGGGAGGTTGTTTGGTGTTTTCCAGCAGCGGTAGGTGGTTTTTCGGCGACGGCGCGTGACTCTCCGATGGCGGTATGTGCAGCAACGATTAGTCTCTGATGGTGACAATGTGGTTCTTTTGGTTTCCATATGATAAGAAGTACTTTATTTTTTCAAAATTTCTTATTTATTTGTAGTGTTTTCCGATTGTTGTGTTATGGGTATTTTTTGTAATTTCTGAATTAAAATAGGTGATAATATTGTCTCTTGTTACTGTTGAGAATGAGAGCATATAAATCTATAATATAAGAAATTATAGAATCGCAATCGGATGACACAAACCGGTAATATTATTGTTGCTACTGCTAACTCATCTTCTGAGAGAACTATTATAATTTCAGTTGACAAATATGCTAAATTCTCTTAGTATCAGAAATTTTTAAATAAATTTTCTGCTCTTACTGAATCAGAGAAAAAATATTTTATCTTCTCATCAAATAAATGGATAATTAATTCTAGTACTACAGATCACATGACAGATAATATTAATATTTTTTCTAGTTTTCGACCACACAAAACACATTTTCCTCTAATCATTATTGATGGATCGACCTATAACATTGTGAGTTCTGAGACCACAAAACCAATTTCATCTATTACTCTGTCATCTATATTAAATCTACCTAAACTTGTCTTCAATTTGATTTATATGAGTAAGCTGACTAAAGATTTAAATTGCTATATTATATTATTTCCTGATCACTGTGTTATTCAAGATTTTACGACGAAACAGATTATTAGTAAAAGAAATACATCAGACAGTCTCTACATTCTGGATATTTGGGTGTCTCGATTGGTTGTCTGTTCTAGTGTTATCTCTTCATTTGAAGCACATTGGCAATTAAAACATCATTCTTTAACTGTATTGAAGAAGCTATGTCCTCAGTGTCATGATGTACCTTCACTGGATTGCGAGTCATGTCGTTTTGCAAAATATAACCGTAATTTGTCAGGTACAAAGGTCAATATACGAGTTGAGTTTACTTTGAATTAGTTCATTTTGATATCTGGGGCCCCTAATTACTTTGTCTAAAATAAATTTTAAGTATTTCGTTATCTTTATTAATGATTTTTCTCTAATGATTTGTATATATTTTATGAAAAATTGTTCTAAAGTATTTAAGCAATTTTGTGCTGAAGTCAAGAAACAATTCAATGTTTCTATGCATGTATTGAAAAGTGATAATGTCAAAAAGTATATGTCAGACTCATTTCATACCTACATGACTCAATACGAGATCCTTCATCAATTCTCGTGTGTTGATATACCCTTTCAAAATAGAGTTACTGAAAGGAAAAACAGACATTTACTTGAGACAATTCGAGCCTTTTTATTCCAAACACAAGTGCCTAAATAATTTTGGACTGATGTTGTTTCTACGAATTGTTTCTTGATTGATCATATGTCATATACCGTAATTGATGGAGATGTTTCTTACAGTCTTCTATTTCCAAATAAACTTTTGTTTCCAGTGTAATTTAAGATATTTGATAACACTTGTTATGTTCGAGATGTGCGATCTAATGTAACAAAATTAGGCCAAAAAATTTTGAAGTGTGTATTTTTAAAATATTCTTACCTTCAGAAAGGATATCGGTACTATTCTTCATATCTCAATAAATACTTGGTATCAACTGATATACTCTTTTCAGAGAATACATTGCTTTTCTTCTCATTGTCCAAGTTCACAAGTCATGAGGCAGACGATGAGTGGCTCATTTATAGTCTCACACCAGACACCTCCACTGAGTAAATAGATAATATGTATTTCTCCAGATGATGTGCTTTCACTCCTACTTGGGCAAGCTGATGATAGTGTTAGTGTGTCTTTGACTCAAGTACCACCACCAATTGTTCATGTTTATTTCAGAAAACAACAGATTATACCAACTCTGTTATCTAATTCTGCCTCACAAGACTTTAATCTTCCCATTGGTCTTCGTAAAGGTACATGTTAGGGCACCATTCCAAAGCCAACTTATGTCACTACTAATTTTGTTTTGTATGACCATCTGTCTCCTTCGTCTAGTTCTTTCATTATTTTTATAAATTCAATTTTCATACCCAAGACAGTTAAAAAAGCTTTAAATCATCAAGTCTGGCATAACACGATATTTGATGAGATAAATGCTCTCGATGAAAATCATATATGAGATTTGGAGGATTTACCCAAAGGATAAAAAGTCATGAAGTGCAAATGGATTTTTTCAGTTAAAGTAAACTCAGATGGCTCAGTAGTAAGATTTAAAACCAGACTTGTAGCAAAAGTCTATGCTCAGAC